CTACTACCGATGAAAATCGATGGATAAATGAACAAGTTTGCAACGGTTAGGTGAAAGTGCAATAATTTTTTGTATAAAATACTAGCAGGAAATAATGTTACCCATACGCCATATCGTACATGACCGAATGATCATGTTAAAGTTTGAATTTTTTTCATTCGCAATGAAAACTTAAAATGCAAATAACTTGACTAAATGACCTTATAAAAAAAAAGGTATACAGATCCATAACATACTACTTAAAATTAATTTTACGTCTCTCGGCGTTTTTTGTGTAATTTTAGCGTCGTTACAGTGTTATCATCAAAATTTAGCCATAGCAATGAAATTTGTTTATAAAGCTCTTAGGAGATAGGATCTCCAGTCCCACACGAAGCGCGTACGCGGTAGGATCTGGAAAATTTAACCGTTACCCTATAAACTGAACAGCTACAGTTTAAGCTATTCAGTTTTCTTAAAGTCCAATTAGTAATACTACTTAGGTATAAGTTGTTTATTCAAGGCAGTTAGCAACCAAGAAATTTAACAAAGCTATTGTAATTCAACAGTAAATAAAATTTTTTTTATAAATTTTTCGATTACTTTTTAAATTACTTTGAGGAATGGTATTGGAAAAAATCAATTACATTTTCAATTCCTTTCAAAGGAATTGGGGAAAAAAATTACATTTTCAATTCCTTTCAAAGGAATTGAAATAAAAGAAATTACATTACTAGCACGTAATTTATTCCAATTACAATATGAAATTCCTTGTAATGGAATTAAAGAAAAAAACAATTCCATTTGAAATTACTTCAAGGAATTGAAAAAGTAATCGATTCCTTTGCTGTGAACTAAAGGGATTGAATCCTAATTACAATTACTGAGGAATGTAATTGTAATTGTAATGTAATTGCATTTACCAGCTCTGGATACACAACAGTAAATTTAAAAAGAGCACAATTAATTTGCTATCTGTAATAAGTATACATATATGGGGAAATCTTTTGAGATGCTTCCGACAGCGACTACAGTGAAATCAAGGGAAAACTTCAAGATAAATTCACAATGGCACAATGTCTTCCAGAAGCATACGAATTTCATGCAAAAATCCTTTAATTAAAACAACAAAAAGGAAAGATGTGCAAAGAAGTATAACCACTTTGATAATTTCCCTCGGGCGTTAGACGATCTAGAGTGTATACGCCCTCAGAGCCTATATTTCCCAGTAGGGTACTTAAAGAAAACATTATAGGCAATGTTTTTATGTAACAACAACATTTGAAAAAATTTCAAAATCGAAAAAATCACCTAATTTTTTATTTTTTTTATATGATGCACATAAAGGGTGAACCACCAAAACTGCGTCACTTTGGGAAGCTTATAACTTACCCAAAACGAATTCAATATTTTGAAATTCAAATACCATAAGCTGACCACATGACCTTAGTTGGACGTAGAAGAAATTTCATTTGAATTTGATTCCTAGTTGAGTTAAAAATGGCAACCGAGTTAGAAACGAGACAAACCATTTTGCACGAGTTTATAAATGATCCGGCCTTAAGTACACGTAAAATTGCTAAAAAATTAAAGAGTGCACTATTCGACAGTTTGCAGGGTTTTAATCGGTACAAATAAGGCCTGGCAGTTACGAGAAAACCAGGGAGCGGGGGTTAGCATGGTCAAAGTGATAAAAACAGTGCTCGGAAGGTCCTCAGTGCGTTTTCGCGAGATCCGAAGATTTTGTCGCGTTATGTTGCAAAATCCGTACGGAGATCGCAGTTTTTCGTACAAAAGGTAAAGCGGAAAGCTTCATTGAGATGTTCTACAGCTCAAACAGCGCCAGACCGAGGCGCAAAGTAGAATGTTACAGCGAAATCCCGCATTCGGAAGTTGTATGAATTCTAAATTAAAAAATACAACTGCATTGTTATGGACTACGAAACCTACTGCTATAAAAATTCAAAATATATTGCAGGTCAAGATTTTTATACTGGTGCAAGTCGTCAAGATGCCCCTGAAAGTTGTAAGCTGAAAATGAAGTCCAAATTTCCAAAAAACCACATGGTTTGGCAAGCTATTTGATCCTGTGGCCGGCTGAGCAGCCCTTTTTTCCCATCCGGGACAATGAATGATCAAGTTTATCGGGATGAGTGCCTCAAAAGGCGTCTTCTGTCATTTATCAACAGATAAGGAGTAGGCCACTGTTCTAGGCGGACGTGGGAACCTGCCACTATGCCAAGGACAAATTGCCGTGGTATAATGCAAATAACATCAATTTTGTACCTCACGACTGCAATCCACCCAATAGCCCAGAGCCACGTCCTATTGGGGAATATTGGTCAATTGTCAAAGAAATCTTGCAGAAAACAGGTGAAACAGTGAAAAATATTGAAGAGTGCAAAACAAAGTAGTTGTGCGCATCGCGTAAAGTCGATGATGCAGTCGTGCAGAACATGATGGCGCGTGTGCGATGAAAATACCGATCACTTGCATATGGAGCAAATAATAACTAATATTTTAACATTTTAATAACATCTGAACTTCCAAGTTATATAATACAAAAAATAATAATTTCAAAGCCTTCTAGTTTGTTTCTGGTAGTAATTTCTAAGTGTCGCAGTTTTGGTGTGTTCACCTTTACGTTCGTAAAAAGACGAAAAAACAAAAAATGACACTGAAGATGGCACAACGCCGAAACCGGTTTGTCTCCAAACCAAATTTGACAAGGGATGACGGAAATTCGTTACATACCACCCTGTCGAAATTGCATAAGTCATAATAAATTCAGATCAAAACCACATTTTCACTGAACGTATTTATGGACAACGTATTTTATTATATACATAAGTATGTCATGAGTGCACTTCTGCCTTTTAAAGTATGTATATACAAACAAACAAAACAATAACCATTAGAGATCAAAAAAAATTTTTGTTCAGTTCTGGAACGTATTTGTACTTCTTAACGTAACTGGAAGCAAACAAAACAAGAACTATTTTAACACATTTTTACGTAATACCATGTTGTGACCGACATCAAAAACATGTTTTCGTTGCTAAAACTGGGTTTCGACCTAAAACTTGTGTTTTCGTCCATGTAAAATCTATCAACCGAAAACCAGTTTTCGCCATAATAAAAACATGGTGAGCTAAAACCGTTCTCAAGTCTTTTCAACTTTGCCAGCATTTTAAAATCATATAAAACTGAAAATTAAAAAATTAAATTGTTCAACATTTTTGTTGTTTGAGATTGGAAATGAGAATGTGTATGTGAGTTTGTGCGTAAATTTTAAAATAAAAATGCTTGAAAACGTCAGAAATGCTAAAAGTATTTCTCAGCGGTTCCACCTCACTATATTTTTATCATGGTTTTTGCTGAAAACTTACGTTCCACTTATTCCAGTCGGTGTCTGCACTAGTTTTTTAGATATAATTATCGAAGTGGAAGTTATATTTTTTCATCTTTAATGCGCCAGTTCGGATTTATTGTTAATTGGCTGGCCAAACTATAATAAGACTAAAATTAAAACGTTATTAATGAAAAAAAATGAAAGAAAAAAATAATGTAAAAAAAAAAAATTAAAAACAAGCTTTTATTTAACATGTACAATCAAAGGAATAAAATAAAGTAATATAACAAAAGATTTTTTAGCAAGAAAATTTTGTCAAAACTGCACTAAAATGAATAAAATAAAATAAGTTAAGGTCTCGTTAAAGTTACTAAAAGACATTTAGTGAAAGGAATTATTCAAACCGTAATGAAAATTACTAACAATTTGTATTAATTTACGTCGTTTCTAAAAAAGTTTGTCGCGCGAATAGCAAACCGGCATTTAAATATCTGCATACATACATATACATACCTAACCAATTATGCATGTACGCTGAATTCGCCGACAAGCTTTTTTAAAAACGAAGTAAATTAGTACAAATTGTTAGTAATTTTCATTAGAGTTTGAATAACTCCTTTCACTAAATGGCTTTTAGTAACTTTAACGAGACCTTAACTTATTTTATTTTATAAATTTTAGTGCAGTTTTGACAAAATTATCTTGCTAAAAAATCTTTTGTTTCACTACTTTATTTTATTCCTTTGATTGTACATGTTAAATAAAAGCTTGTTTTTAAAAAATATTTTTTTTACATTATCTTATTTTCTAGTTTTTAGTCCATTTATAAAAGCGTTGTATATTAAAAAGTGTTATTTTATTTTATGTACAAAATTTTGCAATAGATATTAAAATAATTCAACTTGCAATGAAAGAGAACAGAAGACTATGCAAGCAAAATGTTGTTTGCTTACGTTTTGTATAAACATACATATGTACATATAGCAGCAGTTGATTTCATTTAAAGAAATGGCGTGACGTCCATTTCGGCTGTAGCGTATTTAAATAGTGCATATATTTAGGCGCAATATTTAACTTCTTCTGGCGGGGCGACATCTGGAGTCTTCTAATTGTGTCTCCTTGATATGATGCCTACAACGAGGTTCATATCTAGACTAGGTTGATATCTAGAATTTGCCACAAATAGCTTTGCTACACTACCGCCGGCAGCTTTAACACTTTTTTAGTGGTTTTACGTTCTTTGGCAAATTACGCTCTGTTAGCCATAAATCTTACTACTTTTTGACCGCCTTTGAATCAAGATCTCTGGACCATATAGGGAATTCATTTACATTTTAAATTGCATTGTCATCGTGATTGGAACTATGCTGAAAATTTCAAGTCTCTAACTTGTCGTGAAGTTAGTTTAAAACCGATTGGAAATTTCCGCGATTTCCGCTGGATGACCAAGTTAAATAAAAGCTTATAAAAATGTTGGTTTTGTTTTGTTGTAGCAAAACTGTAAACAAAGGATGTAGGAAATGTCAACGAAAAAACTAAAAACAGGTGTTAACAGCCTTCAGCGCACAATCCCAAAACTCGTTTTCAAAGTGTTTTCGTTGTCAGTCAGAACATGGTATAACTAACTCATATGACATGTTACAGGGTCTCTTTTCGCGTATACGTAAACTATAATTTTGATCAGCAACGCAGCCATTCAATTAAATAGAATAGGGGTATTCTCGATCCGATGCATACTGTCTAGCATGGTGCATAGATAGCATAAATAGCATGATTGGATACTTTTGTTGTTGTTTCATGTGTTAAAATATTATGAAATCTTTGCACCCTCATGCTACTATGAACCTGGTGTTATTTTGATTGCATGATATGGTAGCATACTTTTTGCAACCCTGTGTCAGCTGTCTTCTCATTTGTAAACAAGCATAAAGTTGGATAAAGAGTAAGTAGTTTTAATTCATTTTACTATTTTGCAACAATTTATCGTTTTAATTTTTAGAAAATGAGCGATATTACGCGAAAAAGATCGGTTGCAAGGTTACAGCCAATAAAAAAGTGGCAGGCTCGAGAGGTGGAGCTCATCCTGGACTTTCTTGAAGAGGAGCCCAAGTTTGAGTTAAGCAATGTTTTAAATCTGAAGATTCGTAGAACCTCGATTAAAACTTATATTGATGTTCTTATATTCATTTCAGTTTCCAACTGCACAAATGTTTTATACAAAATTTATTGAAAAGACCCCCATAGAGGCTACCCCTGAGCAGGTGCGCTGGAAGGTGCGCCACCTCAAATCGCTTTACGTAAAAGCCAACGATTCGCTGAATTCAACTGGAGCTGGCGTACTTGAAGGAGAAGAATCCATAGAAGGTAAAAATAGGTACTTATCTATTCATATATGTATTTGCTGTTAATTAGGTAAATCCATTTTCAATAATCTGCAGGCAGGATACTCAAAATATGTCCACACTATAGGCGTCTCCAAAATATATTTGAGCCACGAGGCATAGCACTACGGGCGCCACTGCTAGTGACAGAATCACCATCGACAGAGCTACCATGGCTATCAACAGAACCACCATGGATAGAATTACCATCAACTGAATCACCACCAGCCATAGCGACATTGGCATCCGTTTCACCAACACTGTCATCAACTATTACACAGTTAGTTGAAAGCGAAGTTCCTTCACCACGTTCGCCATCGTTGCCAGTTGAGGAGGCACTAATCCCAAGCTCATCCACACCAAAGCAATCAGGGAAAACTAAAGCACGACCAAGATCTGCTATGGGACAATTAGCTACAATTCAAAAGGAAAGAATGCAGTTTGAAAGTGAAAAATTAAAAGTTAAGAAGGAGGCAGTTGACATAGAAAAGAAAAGATTAGACATAGATGAAAAGAGAGCAGAAAATGATAAATATTTCCGCGAAAAAGAATTAGATTTCAAATATAAAGAGCTGGAAATGAAGGAACGTATTGCGAAATATGAAATAGATAAAAAATATGGAACCTAAAAGTGTTCAATGTAGTATTGGATAAATTTGTTTTTATCTCTTTGTTTAAGATGAATGTATGTATGTAAGTGTATATACAAATATGTACATTTGTAAATGTATATATTTACGTACATACAAGCATACGCACATGCGCAAGTGCACATCTATGTGTGTATGCATGTACATGCATTTTTTTTTAATATAGAGTTAATGTCCAAAACGAACAAAGCAAGGGAGTATTTTACATATGAGCCGTTCAGTTCGATTAACTCCATCAACGAAAAGTTGGGAGATGCGATCAAATAATGTACATTATTTTTTAAAATTCCATTTACATATATTATGAAATCAAATAAATAATGTTATGAACATTATGTACTATTGTATGTTATATAGAGTTATTATAAACGTAATAAGTTATGACTATACCAAGTGCTTTAACACTTAAATCTAAGATTTTTCAAAAACTGGAGTTAATCGATGTGTGCACTGAACGGTTCATATGCTTGTACATATACAGCGTATACTGTAATTATCGCACGTAAGAAAGCTATAGGAATTCCTTTGCATTTATTCCTGTTGGATATAGCACTCTTTATTTCGCATAAACGTATGTAGGTAGGTAACGGGTGATTTTTTAAGAGCTTGATAACTTTTTTTTTAAAAAAAACGCATAAAATTTGCAAAATCTCATCGGTTCTTTATTTGAAACGTTAGATTGGTCCATGACATTTACTTTTTGAAGATAATTTCATTTAAATGTTGACCGCGGCTGCGTCTTAGGTGGTCCATTCGGAAAGTCCAATTTTGGGCAACTTTTTCGAGCATTTCGGCCGGAATAGCCCGAATTTCTTCGGAAATGTTGTCTTCCAAAGCTGGAATAGTTGCTGGCTTATTTCTGTAGACTTTAGACTTGACGTAGCCCCACAAAAAATAGTCTAAAGGCGTCAAATCGCATGATCTTGGTGGCCAACTTACCGGTCCNGTATGTACAAGATGTTTACTTGTGAATTTGTGTATATACATATATATGTACATATATATATAGTTGTATAAAATGTGCCGATTCCTTCGTACCATTTCTGAAATGCGTTCAAGACTTAGGACTAAGCTTTGGTTATGCTATTAAAATTGGCTGTTTTGTACTTATCATTTTATTAATTAACTCCTTCAAGTTCAAGTTTGTATGTTTTAAAAGCGGAAATGAATTAAAATGAAATAAAACTAACGATATAACTTATGTATGTTTACGTATTTTTTATTCAAACATATAGGAGTATAAATTTTGTCTTTTAATTTCTGCTTCTGGGTTATTTTGATTGAATTCAGAAAAAGTATTGCTGAATACTTCGCCTTCTCCATCATCAGTATTAGCATTTAGTTCATAATCCTCAAACTCTGAACTTTTAATGAGAACGTTGTGCAGGACGCAGCAAGTCATAAACCATTCCGAGCAGAAATTGTGACTTTTTTCATCTCGTACACGTATCCTAAGTTCCTTTAAGCTTCCGAAACGCTCTTTAAGGATACCAAAACAGTGTTCTATTCTGACTCGGTATCCGCTGTGGCGTAAATTAAAAGCTATGCGCTTAGTTCGATTTAATTGTTGGGAGTTTGATCTGTATGGTGTTATAAGGGTAGTTTGCAATGGGTACGCAGAATCCCCCGCTATCCATTGCTCAGAAGAAAAAAAGTTTTCTTTTTCTGTATATAGGGGACTGGAGCGAAACATTCTTGCATCGGGGTTGCTGCCAAAATGACCCACTGAAACATGGCGAATCTTAAGTTGATCGTCACATACAACTTGCGCTTTAATGGAATACACACGATTTTTTGAAAAGTAAGCTTGATGGTTGGTGACTGGAGCTTCTGCAAGCTTTACTTCCGTTCCATCAATATATCCAATACAGTCCGGCAATTCGTGATAAGTTCTACATGAAATTGCTTTTCGCTCATTTGAATCAGACCAAAAAATAAACTTTGACTGTAAGTTTCTGAATGTTTTAAAGATTCGTTTTGTTATTTTGTAGACGGTTTCGCCGTCTCCTACTCCAAATATTGCCGCGATTTTTTTTATGGCTGCGCTTTCACCATTTGAGCCGAGACGGTATAGCACTATAGCTAATTGAATATCCAAAAAAAAATAGTTTCTGTGCGTGAGGCTTATTAAATTCTGGATCATCACAAATAAGCGATAAAAGTTGTCTAAATTGCTCGTGGTTGACGCGCATCATTTGCCGAAAACGGTTCTCATCCAGCTTGTTGAGGACAGAACTTCTCCACTCCACAGATTTTGGAACGTTCTCAAAACAGCCGCTTAAAAACGACATTACAATGAAAATATCTTCGTCGAAATATTTCATTTCTTTTATAAAACTTCTGAGACCTGAAAATAAATGAGAATGGTAAGAAATAGTTAATTGATAGACTTATTTACTCACCATTTGTAAAAATTATATTCATTTTGGCGTTTTCAATTAGAAAATGTATAAGTGTTTGCTTTTCACTTTCACGAGGCATTTTTTAATTTGACATAAGAACGTTTTGACATATGCATGCTATGAGCGAAGAAAAGGAGTTCTCGATTAGGTGCATACTTTGGTGTTGCAAGTATGCTATTTATGCTTGCATGCACTCATGCAACGGATCGAGAATACCCCTAATCTGTTTTTTTTCTTGATAACACAATTTTGCGATAATTACAACTGACTACTAAAGATGGCACCTTTTCAACTATCGATTGAAATGATGTATCCGGACTACTTGTTTCTGATATGTAATTAGGAAAGGCAATCAACCTTATCATGAGTTTTATTTCGCCCGAAATTGTTCACTTTCGAATTTTGCGATAATTACAACTGACTACTAAAGATGGCACTTTTTCAACTATCGATTGAAACGATGTATCCGGACTACTTGTTTCTGATATGTAATAAGGATAGGCAATCAACCTTATCATGAGTTTTATTTCGCCCGAAATTGTTCACTTTCGAATCTGCGTATTCATTTACGGGTGGATGAAAAATATTAGGGCGAAACTCACGATAAGACGAAATAATTTTCCCCCAACCATTTCAAATTTACAAAAGCAAATCAAATTTTGTTGTCCCAAGCATTATACGGGGACACTTTGGTTGTAAACGGGGACACGGGAACAAAGAGTCCGAAACGAGGACATGTCCCTGGAAACGGAAACGTATGGCAGCCCCACATTAGGTTACTTAAAGTAAAAATTATAGGCAGTGTTTTTATGTAACAACAAATATTTAAAAAAATTTCAAACTCGAAAGAAATCACCGAATTTTTTTATTTTTTATATGATGCACATACGTTCGTAAAAAGACGTAAAATAACATATTCTTGATGATGACGGAAAATCGTTAGAAAAAACGCATCTTATACCAACCCTGTCGGAGACAACACAAACCAAAAAGAAAAAAATTAATTAATTTATTTATGTATATCCAGGAAAAAATTTTAATTATGTTTTAATAATTCTCACAAAATTGTATATACATCCAAATCCTCTTCAGAAGTATATTGCCAAGGCAATGCCTTTTGTTGTGTTGAATTAATATTTTTTATCCTTATGAGTCGCTCTGAACTTGTCAACGCAACTGCTTCTGATATAATGCTTCTGAAAAATTACCCGTGGCGATACATTCATTGACATCCGTGTGCAATGCTTTTGCTGATATTCTATAATTTATTTTTTCTTGCGCTCGTCTGTATAGATTCTATACTATAGAAGCTTTGCTCACTTGCTACGTTTTGATAGTTTCTACACTACATCAGCGAAGCCAACTCTTGGGGAATTTCCGATTTGCGGGAAATTTCAGCTTGCGTAGAGAATCGGGGACTTGACCTTTTTTGTGGGGAATTTTAGACTCTGTGACATAAGCACCTATTATTTTAGTTTTTTTTTGCTTTGAATTGAATTTTATAAGTTCAACCTTTAACAAAATCCGTATAAATCTAAGGTTCTAGCTTTGTGCAATATTTAAAAAAACCATATCAACCAACTTTTTAAAAAATGTAGAGCTTTTTAATTAAATTTTTTTTGAAAGATTTTGTGTAAGTATGCAGTTTTGCAGCTCGTTCAATTCTAGTATAGTAAAGCTTCAAATACCTAAAAATTACGATTGATTTTTTAGAATTTTGTTTGTCGCATTTGGTTTCAATAACGAACAAATACAATTTATGTTTACATGTAAGGAAACACTGCACCTTTAGAAAAAAAAATCTAAAACCAAAATTTTTAGCACTTGAATGTTGCACCTTATTTTGCTAGAATTTAGTGGGCTACAAAACCTAAACTAATTAACAAAAAAAAAAATATTTGTGAAAACTTGTAAAAATTTGGTCCTACTAAATTTTTTCGACCACTATGTATGTATGTTAATATTATATGTACATTTTTTATTCTTTATTTATTAACTAACTTTGTGAATATATTTGTGTGTGTGAATTTAATTCTCTACAAAACTGCAATAAGGCTTTTCTTTTATTTGTTACACTTAACTGTTTATAAATAAAGTTGCGGAACAACATTTTCTTCGTTGAAAATTCTTATTTTTGCGAGCGCTAACTGAAAAATGAAGATAGAGAGAGGGCTGAAATTTTGCCGACATTATTTTTTTGTAACCGACAACGAAATTTTGATATGGGACCGAAAGAAAAAAGCATTCTAATTTACATATGTGGGTATACATATGAATCAGGGTTGTTGCGAATATTCGCATTCGCATTCGCATGCGCTTTCGCATTCCCAATAATCAATGCGGAGCTTTTGCGAATGCGAATATTGTACAAGTGCACTGTTAAAACGTATATCTGGCAAACAAAAATTTTAGCCAATATTTTTTGCCTGTAGAGATCAGGGTGGGCAAAAACTCGGAGTTCGAGCGAGCGAGTGAGCAAACTCCTACTCAATGCCTCGCAGACAATGAGGCGCTCGCAGCTCGTACTCGTAGCAGCAATGAGGCGAGGCACGTGAAGTTTGGCTCGCTCGCCAAACGAGCGAGCGCTGCTTGTTTGCTCGCGCTCTTATTAAATGAGCGAGGCTG